ATTTTATTTAATATTTTCGCTTGGCATTTATTTTTTGATGAAAATAAAATCTACAAATATATTTTTTTCTCTATATTTTACAATTATTAACCCACCAAAAATCAGTATAAAACACCCAAAAAATCTATTCAGTAAAGATTAATTCCAGTTAAAATAAAATATTTTACCGTATATGCCGAGATAAAGTTAGACAAACTCTTTTGTTTGGCAAGTTTGGTGAGTTTCACTGGTGATATGGAGAGCAGGCATTAGCTTTTGATAATGACTGGACAGTGAAAAATAGCACTGCTGAAAGCACCGATTTCAAAGTGTCGGTAATTATTTTGGCATGTGTTTAATTTAAAACAATTTTTTGTAGCTCCTTTTCGGCGAAATTTTAAGCAATCTATTCTCATTTTAAAATGTCTAAGAGAGCAAACAGGGATGCAGACATTAATATTGAAGGAAGTGTGCGTATTAAAAAGGATTTGAGTCTTCAGGTGATATCAAAACACTGGAGAGAAGTATGGAGCAGCAGCTGAAATGAATCACAATCTACAAGAGAAAACTACACACAAACACAAAATAAGGAAGAAGAAAAAAAAAAGCCCTGCAAATTCCAATTCAGGATCCAATACACAGTGGTAGAAGAAACGATGAAACGCTAACACCCAAAGATTTAAAAAGGATAATAACCTGCCCAAAGACTGGAACTGGGAACTGAAAGAGAATTGATATAAATGAATACTTTATCAGATGAAACAAAACAGATGATACAAGACATAAACAGGACAATTACTGAAATGAAATGAATGAATAGACATAATATGACATAAAGACAACAAATTTTGATATAAGAATCATAGAACATTTCATTTGAGCAGTACTTGAGATTACAACTCAGTTAATCAATTTATTGCTTCGGCAGTTCCACAAAAGATCTGTACAAACTTTATTTAGATATATATATATATACCTCTGGCTGATGTGCCGCTGTTCACAGAATCAATAGCTAAAGCTTCAAACACTTCAAAATCAGACTTCTGTACTTTAATCACATTATTATAGGTTCCATGATCGTTCACACAAGTTGGCTACAAAAAAAATAGTTGCCTATCAAACGTGGGATGCATGTTGCATATAGCAATGCATGACAAAAAAAGATACAACAGCAACTCAACAACAGCGACATTCACACGAGTAAGAAATCCAGACAATACTTCATAAAGAAATTATCGACATATCAAGTGTTTTTTTCTAGAATTACATGACGGGTATTTCTATTTGATGATTGCACATATGAACTGCAAAATTTTGCATTGCAAACATGCAAGACATAAAATACAGAGTCCTCTGATTTTGTCTCCATTTCTATACTCACCACAGTAGGATCATGAACCCAGTTACCATCCACATGGAATTTATACTGATGTTCACCTTCAGGTAGTTCCAGGATCACCGTAAAGTCACCATGACTATTCAGAAAAAAAAAAGAAGACATGTTCGTGTGTATTTAATTGTTAGCACATGCCACTTGTCAGCGAAAATAGTCAACTTAAAACTCAGTGAATAATTAATACATCTACAATAATGTTTATAACTGTATTGTAATTCTTGTGTTACCTTTTCACCAGAGGAATTTTTTTCGCCCAGTTGTTGAAAGTCCCTGATAAATAGACAACCTTGGCGTTCTTTGCATTGCCTTCATATCTGAAGACAGTTGGTAAAGCATTAGACTGTATTGACGACTGAGATATAGTACTGGCTCGAGGTCTACGTGGAAAATCCTATAATGCCACAAAAAAACAACATAAAATACATAGCAAAACTATTGCAACTTTGGCCATCAAGAATCTAGATTAAACAGATATATTTATATGATTTTTGTATAAAACTCATGAAGCGATGCAGTAATATATCTAAACATTTTGCATGGGAAAATACTCTTGAAAATCTAGGTGGGAACAATTCTGACCAAAAATTGGACAATGAAGTCATCATAATTACATGAAAAACAAATGTTTTATTTCAGCTAAATTTCACTCCATTTTGAAACACTGCCAGTCACATAAAAGTTGAACATGGTTGACATTTCAAACTAATTAATAAGATTCCCAAATTTGAAAAAATTGTTGTTGTAACTACACAAAAAAAGCAGACAACTACAACAACAATGTGGACAGACGGTTTCCCCTCGCATCTTTTCCTTCATCTATGATGATGATGATACAGGTAAAAACAAACAGACTGGACATCAGTAAAATCACAAAATGTTTTTCTCCTCATATCTGTTAGTACAAATTAAATTCTTTCCAAAATTTACTCAAATTTAGAGCTTGTGACAGAGGAAACTCAGACAAAATACCAAGTGTATTATTTTTCTCACATCTGTTATCTAAACGGGTATGGGAGGTACAGCATAAAATTAAATATCACAATACAACCCACAACATATATTGATTCACAAATGATAAATGAAATCTTTCTTTTTACATGCATGTGTAACGTACCTGATTTGGAAACTCAAAACTATCATCAGACAAAAGATGAGTTTGTCCTGGCTTGAAATCAAAAGTATTTGGGGATTCCTTTGGAGAGCTTGGTGGTCCGTCCTTGTCTCTTTTGCCTGCTGTATTTCCCATAGTTCACAATGACCTACTGAGTGAAACAATAAGAAGTAAAGGGTTGTTTTCATTTTCCATGACCAATATAAAAATAGTCAAGTTTGCCTCCAGAAACCTAAAATATTTCTATGACCCCGACCTTCATTTTCAGGATCATTCAAAGAAACTTTTATATCAGTTCTTGCCAATTACACGTCAGAATTGCAGAAAAACATTAATTATCAGACCACTTTTTAAGCCAGAGCATCATTTGTATCATCCATTAATTCACATTTTATGATTTTTTGTTCATATATGTATTAGCCATCAAATTGATATACCGGGGTAGTGGATTTTTCAGAGTAATTTTTGTCATGATTGGCAGAAGATCTCAATTTATGAAATTTTGAATTTATATTTATTTGTGAGTATAAATTACATCAGCAATTTATAATTGTGTTGAGGTGGATCAAAGTTCAAAGAATTCTCTTATTTAATACAGTATTGTCGACAGATTTGTCCAGGACACACATGACTGCTTTAATTTTAGGTTACACATCTCCAGTCTCTCTGCATACATGTACTTAAAGGTGAATGATTAATCAGGTGAATGACCTATATTCTTCTCTCCTAAAGACCTACACAAACGCCAGATCAAAAATACATGTAGGTTTTGCAGGGCAAATTGTTTGTTGTTAAGAGATGTTTATCTCAATTGAGATATTGGTTTTTATTCCAATTGGGATATTTTGTCTTTGAACGCACCATGCAAATTACACAATGTTTTGGTTTTTTTTCAATATTTTGCATAAAAAGCCTAAGCCCTGCGTACAGTGCTGTGTGTACGGGGACGCGTTCGGTTGATAGATGTCCCCACCACAGCCCTGCGTACCTCCATCGACAAAGTCCGGGAGCGCACCGTAATTGGTGCGCAAGTTAAAAATAAGTAGCTTCCCAGCCGAAATCGGTTGAAATGACGACAGTTATCCGTAACAACCATTACAAAGTTATATGAAACTGAAATGTCTTTAAAAAGTGACTAGTAAAGACGGACAAAATGTAAACGCGTTTATACCAGGAGGAATTATCCACCAAACGCCACCATTTTTAATTTCATTCACGCAAGAGAATGCGTTTG